CACACAGCTGCCCTCTGCCCCAGGGAAGTCCCCGCAGGAGGCCCGGGGCTCAGGGCTGGGCCAGCAGCTGAGACAGACCCTGGCTGGGCCCAGACAACAGATTTGCATCCCTGCTCCTCCCTCCTGAGCTGCGGGCAGAGAGGATAAGACAGGAGCTGGCAGGGCCAGTGCCAGCTGGGCAGCCGCAGGCAGCGCTCAGGACCCTCCCACCATGGCCTGGCTTCCCCTCTACCTCCTGCCCCTCATCGTCTCCACAGGTCAGAGCGGCCACAGCACCTGGGGTCCTGCCCCCGATTCTCCCTCCCAGCTCAGTCCCAGGGGCGCCTGCTCATCGGGGTGCAGTGGGCATCGCTCTTGTGTTTTCTGTCTGCAGGTCTCTGTGCTGATCCTGTGCTCACGCAGCCCCCGTCTGCCTCTGCCGCCCCGGGGGCCTCGGCCAAGCTCGCCTGCACCCTGAGCGCTGAGCACAGCAGCTTTAGTGTTCGCTGGTATCAGCAGAGACCAGGACAGGCCCCTCGGTTCATCATGTACCTTCAGAGCAACGGAAGCCACACCAAGGGGGACGGGATCCCTGATCGCTTCTCGGGCTCCAGCTCCGGGGCCGACCGCTACTTAACCATCTCCAACCTCCAGTCTGAGGACGAGGCTGAGTACATCTGTGGATTGGTCTATAACATTGATGGCAAATTTGGGGGGTTCCACAGTGACACAGACCAAGGGGAAGTGGGGCTGAAACCTCCCTCCCTCTGTCTGCTTCTCACTGGGACTCAGGGGACCTGCTGCCTGTCCCCCTCCTGGGTGCTGAGATGCTGACTCTTTCCTGTCAAACCCATCCCCCTCCCCCCTGCTCCCCAAGGCGCCACAGTGAGAAGCAAATGGAGGCCATGATTGGGGTCCTTGTGCCGACACTTACATTCTGATCCCCCCCCACCTGTGGGCAGGAGCTGGGACAGACCACACCAGGCCCGGCAGACTGTACCCTGAGGGTGTGGCTGTGCTTACCAGGTTCCCCGGAGCCACCAGACCTGGGCTCCTGTTCGGGCTCTGCTCAGGGAAGGAACAGAGACCTTTGGGTGCAGGGATGACCTTGGACGTCCTCTGTTGCCTCTGCTGCTCCGTGGAGGGAAGCAGGGCCCTGGCAGGACGGGGCTGAGGAGGAAGCGTCCGGTCCTCTGGAGGCAGGACAGAGCCCTGAGCCCCTGGGGGCTGCAGCCTGGGACCCAGGAGGGAGACGGGGCCGATGAGGAGGCCTGAGCAGGACCAGCCTGGAGCAGGGCCTGGCTCCTCCCACTGTGTCAGGGCCTCTTCTTGTGGGGCCAGGACAGGCTACCCCTCTGCCCAGGCCTTTGAGAGACAGGGCAGGACCCGGGCCAATGAGGAGGGACAGGGAGCAGGAGGAGCAGGAGGAGCAGGAGGGGATGGATCAGGGCTGACCCCAGAGTGACCTCTGTCAGCCCCAGCGGCTGGAGCCACAGGGTTTGAGGGCCACCTCCAGCCCCTCCCAGTGC